AGTATTTGAAACCAAAAACATAGTGTTCAGACATTATATTCAAACAGTTTCTTAATGGGAAAAAATTATCGCTCAATAAAATGAATAGAAATTTTCAAAAAACTCTCACAAGCGGTTGCAGAAGTTTTTTATGAAAGGAATGAAAGTTTTAGACCAACTTTGCAACAAATTATTGCGGACGATGCTATTAAATATTTGCAAGTAAATGTAAAAATAATCTTTCTTAAATGAAAAAATCAGTACTTTTTCAGAATGCATTTTATAAATGAACAATTTTATTCTGTTTGCATGTGAACCTTAGTTATTTTTCTAGCTTCACTGTTGGTTTCTAATTCTATTTTCCTTTTTTAATTATCAATGATTTGGAGGTTGTTCTGTTCACAAAAAACAACCCTCAATACTAGTTAGGGAGGGAAAATCACTTACGTACGTAAAAAATTTTTTTCAGCTTGCTCATGAACTTTCAATTCTTCAACTAGAGACTAGTTGAAGAGTTTCAAAAGTTTATAAGTATCAAATGATCCTAAACTTTTGTGATGTGTAACTTGATGAAATTTTTTCTCAAAAAATACGTATACAAAAAAAATCAGATAGTTTATCATGATTCTTGCAGAAATGCAAAGTAGAAATGTTCTATCTTCACAGTATTTTTTTGTGGAAATTTTGCATTTGAAATTGTTATGAATTAGTTTGATGAAAAAACGAAGTTCGCAGTATATTATTGTTGTGGTTAGAATCAAGCATTATTTTACTTGTTTGTATTCGAGAGTTTAGTTTATTCAATTATCATGCTAAAGCATGTACTAATGTTTAAGATAAAGTTTTATTCAATATTCACAAAATGTCTCTTACAGTTTTAAGCTTTCAAAAAAGTTTAAATGAAGAAGAAATAAATATTTATAGATGATTTATAGATGGATGGATAGGTGGATGGTGCTTGCTTATCTAACAGAGTAGAGACAAACATCTGAATCTGTGAAGCAAAATTCTACTTCAAAACTTGCCTTGTGTTGGCAACAAATCTTTGAGGGTTGGCGTCGGCTTCTTTGTTGGTTCGCTCGCATATAATACATGGATTTTGTTTTTCTGCAGTTAGCTAAGATATGAAAGGATGTTGGTGTTTAAGCGAATCAAAAAAAAAAAATGGTAGCTCAGAAGTGAACGGAGTTATTTGTCAAAAAAAAGCACACACACAATTTCTCACTTGTTGTATATTCTATTTGCTACTTGGTGCTTTCAGTTTAAAAAAAAAGAATATGCAATTAACTTACAGAAAATGTCCGAAACTTCTACTGATATTCATAGTGATTTTGTAGTATCCTTAATAGTTTGCTTTTATGATAACAAGTTGTACGCATTTCCTACACTAAAAAAGTTATATTGGATTGTATAAGTCTTTGCAATGGACAGAATTACGTATTATTAGCGAATTAAACATAATTACGTATTATTAACAAATGAATTTTAAAATTGGTCCGTTTCATCGTATCAGGACAAAATTTGATTTAGTCAAATTATACTCTGATTAGAATGTATATTGACAAAATTAAGTTCATTCCAAGCTAAATAGACAGTTCATTTGATCACATCTAAGTAAGTATTGGTAGTTGCGATGTGTGACTTCACAATAGGAAACAAATTAAGAAATGATGTTCGAAGATGGGAGCTATGAATTATATGCGGAATGAATGCGAGAAAATGTTCAAATCTTTCGTCACGATTTTGTTATCTTCTAGATGATCTGTGTTATTTTCGACCCTTCCTCGTACAACAAAATGTATGGATGGGACGGAAAGTTGTTGTGCAGTTTATTCTCTCTTGTTAATAGCCTTCAAAAATTTGATATGCCGTTTATCTCTGCCAACAAATCTTTATAGAAATTTGCAACCAATGTTGATATTTTATTTCAAATTACTTTACTCTCAAGGGATATTCATTTTCATGAGATCAATTCTCATATTGCTCGTTTTCTCAGCCTTTCATTACAGCTTCAGTTTTCTACAGCATTCAAATCATTTTTATAATCCATTTTTCATTGTTCTTTTTCAGTATTTGGCAAATATTTTGGGGCACTACTTCTAGTACACAATCTATCAATACTTTTTTCATGGAAACTAAAGCTGCATGAAAAATTTGTTAATAAGTTTTGAAAAAAACGAGATCAAAGAGTATTTACAAAAAAGTATGCTAAAAAGCAAGAAACTAAGGGTAACAAAGAACTCTCAACGTTAAATTTTTTATACAAATGAACTTTAGAAGCTTCACATGCAAGATAGCGTTGGAAGTGAACAGGGACATTTAATGAGAAGCATTATCTGTTTCTTTACTTTCATATGTATGTTTTTAAAAATAATTAAATATTAAAATAAAATGTATATGAAATATTGTAAAACAAGATGGAGCATTATCAATTAATCTCATACTTTGAATATAAATTATTTAAAAAAAAACATGCATATAAGAGTAAATGTATATATCATAAATAAGTTTGTTTTAAGAATTAATTATTTATTGAAATGATTAAGAATAAATAAGTCTGCCCCAGGAAAACTCTCTTCATCATTTGAAGGTTAGGTTTTATAGGATAATGGCATTGCTAACTTCTAGAAGTCAGTTTAAACATTACCAACCAAAGGCAACTTTTCGGCTTAAATTATCAATTCAGTCAATTCTCTGATTAATTATATTCGTGTATTTTACCATAACTACACAAAATATGAGGCAAAGTCTTTAGCACTGCTGTTTAAGTCGTTAATCAAATCGTTACAACTGTTAATGATAGTAAATTCATTTAAACACGGCTTTCATTTTGACAGAAAATCACATTTTAACTGATAAAAAACCTTTAAATAACTTCCAGGCAAGGATAATTAAACAATAAATTTTATTCAGATTTCAAAATACCTACTAACACTTACAATTAATACTTTTGTCTTATTATTCATCCTTAAATTTTGTGAGATATATGCATTATCGGATTTAAGCATGAGTAAAATCCGTTTTGCAAATAGATTCATTCTTCAATTTATTTTTGGAATTCTTTTCACTTCGTTTTCAGAGAAATTCATGCATATATATAATACGTAAATCTTTCAAATTATATCAAATGAATAATAAGTTTCTCTTCACAATAAAGGTAAACAGTAAAAGCCAAAATATCTATCTCCATTTTACTTATATATATATATATAATTTTTGTAATTCAACTGCTTCCTGAGCATATACTTAGACAAAAATGTTGCTTAAATGAGAATGAATATGGTTGAATTATAAAAATTATACTGTACGAACTTTTATGACATGAGTAGACGTGATTAAGGAATGAATCGAATGATTTAAGGATTTGAAAAACACTCCAGTGTTTAATCATATTATGAAAATAAAGTCCAAGCTATTGCTTGCTTAATGTTTCATTCATTAATAAAGCAACAATTTTTGCTTCTTTCTTATCACTAAAGCTCATTTTCAGTAAATTTCATTCATTTCTTGTTTTATCTGCAGTAGTGAACTCAAAAGCAATAAAATGCAAGTTATTAGTGAAACTTCCCAAAACTTCTTCATCGCTTTCTCGAAATGTATTTCATAGGTTTGCTCGAAAAACGTATGAAATTACATTTTACAGTTTAACTGAGAACTACAAGTCAGTAAAAATGAAAGTTAAAATTTAACAAGAATGACTCATATTTTGAAATGGTTGTATACACTTACGATCAAAGTTAATTAAAAAAATTTGATAAGCGAAAGATGAAGTACATCACAAAACTTTTGATAAAACAAAGTCATTCTCCTAACAGTGATCTGATCAAAATGCGATCAGTAATATTTTGACATAAATTTATTTTTCAAGAAAATATATTTTCTGACTTGACCCACGCCCAACTTGTTCAACAGTGAGTCGTTTAAAAGGTTGAAACTTTTGTCGTTTGTAGATCAAACTTAATCATTAAAATATTTAACACATTGAATATTGACAAAAATTTCCAAGCATTTTTCGCAAAAACTTGCATTCCGTAACTAATTCAAGTTAATTCTTACTTCTGGAAAACATGATATAACTCATAAATATGATTGGTACAACGTTTAGTGACTTATTTCCAATGAAAAAATAAGAATGAGGCACAATACTGATGTGGAACATCAAGATATAAATTTTCCAGAAAGAGTGATAGCTGATCACACATCCCAAATAACTCAATTGCGAGCCATTAATTCAAAGATGGACTTTATTTAATACTCATCGCCCTAAAGTTTCGAAAAAAAATAACTTATTGATTCTAGTGACAGAGAAATAAGACAACTAAAAAACTGCTCTACAATTCAAAAATATTTCACGAGTGCACCCAAATGCCAAACCTAGACTAGGTATGATAACGCGAACCATAAAATATTAAGCGTGCACGACTGCAACTGCTTACGTAGAGAACTTGGGGAATATAACTGCCTTAGTGTCCTTCGATTTTTTGTGTTGCAAGCTTTTTTTTCAGACTTAGGTCATAAAAAAAAACAAAAATACTTTATCATAGTAATTATAGACATATACAGAAATTGGAGACAAAAAAGTATTTCCTAAGATTGAATCAGTGTGAAAGTTTTAGTTCGTCCTTTGAATTAGTCCTACAATTAGTCGACGTGACAATACAACAGCTGTTTTCTACACAATATAAGAAACTTTTACAACTGCCATAGATATTTTACATAACATTACTAATAATGCTAACAAGATATTTCTCAGTACACACGACATTTTAATTTTCTTCATAAATTGGCGCGAACATTTTTTCAAAAATTTCAACTAAAAAGATTTTTTGTTTGAGTTAATAAGGTATTTTGCTAGCAAAAATTTCAAATTTCACATATCATGATTATTTTGTTACACAGGTGTACATCAAAAACTATTATCCATACTATCATGCATGCTAGTGTAATAATTTGACAATTTTACAAGCAAATGAGCACGAAAAAAATTAAATGACAATTAATATTTGATAGAAACGCATATTTCAAAGTTTATCTGATTTGAGGATAGGAATTTGTGAAGTACGCTGTCGCCAAGAGGGTATTAGAGGTTGCTTGGGAGTACCGGGCTGGGATCGGCTTTCGGTGCTAAGCGAACTGAAATAATAGTTAAACAAATGACGAATAATTTATTCTGTGCATTAGAAATTGGAAAATATTGAGTTGAAATAATCAATTTTTTTACTTAATTAAAATTTTAATAAATGCTCAACAACTGAGAAATATATAAAGTTGACAAAATGCAAAATTAAATAATCTGACGAAAAAAGCGACCAAAAAAGCAAGACAAAATAGTGATAAAGAAGCCATATCTATATAATTATACAAAAGCATTTGTATACATTTGGAACGCTTATCCGCTCACCTCACTGGTGAGCGTTCATTAGTAGTAACACAGCATGCGCGCATATTTTGAATTGATACGCTATGTTCATCTGCATCGTTTGTAGCATGTGATCTAGTATTCGGTGATTCCTTAGAAGCTTTTCCACCACTGGATCTAGACTCTATTATCATATGGGTTCCACATGCATTCAGGATAAATGATGGATTACGCCTACGTGGTACTGGTGATTTCAAATAAGCTAAAATTAAAATCACCATACTAGACACTATTTCCTTTGTACGCACATTAAAATTAAAAAGAATCGTAAAGTTATTGCTGATAATTTGTCTTGAGATGAAAAGTAAATCAAGGTGTGAAAATTATGAGCTTAGATTTTCACAAAACCACTTTATTTGTCAAACAACAATGATTTCGGCAAAGATTAATAACGAAATTTTACAAACACTGAATTGTAATAATATAACTAACTAAATTAAATCCAGGTAAGCGACAGAGGTAGACAGAATTAGCATTTAAAAAGTTTTTATAATATGATAAGGCCACACAATTCAAGATCACTACCAAAATCAGTGAACCGATACATAAGCATGCCAGTTACCGTCACAAAATCACAATGGAAACTTGAAAAGCTAACAGAGATCTTAATATAAAATGAAGTGAATACCAGCCAGAACGCTCCCTCGAGATCTTTGAAAATTTATGCCATTATTTGATTGTTCTGTATGGCGCACATCGCTTGCTGAACGTAACGTATAAGTATCATGCGTAGAATTCGTTTCTACTCTCTCCTGAACAAAAAACTATTGCAATCAACACAAAAGATAAAAATACACTTGATCTTTAAGTAGCAATAAAGTTATTTACCGCAATCTGACTTCGAACATGCGGAATTGATGTTGCCGTATTTGAATCTGAATCAGAACAAGCGCTACTAACGCTTGAATCAGAAAGTCTTCTAGGGCGCACCATCATTGCTACGTTTCTATCTGACCTAAAAATATAGGAAACATAGGCACTGCTAAGTAGTGAACTTCATAGCAATCCTATATGCTGCAATGACATATCATTATGGTCGTAATATTTGAACTCATTTAGTGCTATTTAAAAAAGCAAAAAATTCAAAAAAATAAAAAAAATAAACTTGCCTCTGTTGCGAAGCTTGTAAAATAGCGGTAAGGTGATCTACAAGTCTTCTAAATCGTCTTACGGGTCCAGCAAGAAGCGAAAATTGAACAACATACATAGATGTATCATCAGTTTGTACTTGTCTGTGAGCTGCTTGAACGATATCTACCTATATAGCCAATTGTTACTTTGTGAAATACTTAGTTATGGAAATTGAAATGATTTACCTGCATCTTCACACCTCTTGAAAAAACGCTGCCACCAACAGTTGGCCCACGTTTGTATTCAACTCTAAATGAATTCTGACCCACAACTGAATGGCTGAGTTCATGTATCTAAAAAGAATCCCTAGACGAAATTGAAATATAAATGTAGTACTTGATATTTCTAAAAAATATATGCCTTTTTTTTTTCTTAAAATTAACTTAGTTCAGAAACATTTTAAAACTGCAATAAAGCGACTCTTTGAAGATAAATGAGGTTTGTCAAAAAACTAGTAAGAGATCCTAAGGACAAAAAAAAATAAAAACCAAAAATTTTCTTAAAATAACCGTTAGAAAAGCGCGGATAAGTTCAGCTTTAATTGCATTTACTGATTTGCCATGAGCTGGTATTGTCTGAACATCATCTCGTTCAACACTAATGCTTGATGCTAACGACCCAAACCACGATTTTTTCACCAAACTAAGTAAGCGTTATTTGTTATATAAATGAGTTATTGAATAAAGTTAAATTTAAAAAAAATTGAATTAAAAATCAGAATCTCATCAAAAAAAATTATTAATCAAAAGCAGGAATATTAACTGGACAAATCACATTACTTGCTAATAAATTGCCTTTAATTTCTGAAAAATATTAATTCAGAAAAGAATAAAATGCTCGATAAAATACAGTAATGGAATGACTTACTCAGATGATTCCAACATTGGATTTTCTTCAGAATCACTTTCACCAGTTCCATTACTACCACTACTCATTTTTCTTCGATGGAATCGAGGTGTTCCAAGTATTGAATTTTTGATATTGGATAGTCGACGCCATGGTCCTGAAGTAATTATTGTGTTACCTAAACAGCACTTCAACTGAAGAAGAAAAGTCAAAAATATTTTATCTTCCTCCAAAATAAATGGAATAATACCCGTGCTAAGACTGCTAGTGGATATGTTTGAAGAACCCATACCCAAATTCGAACCCATTCTCGATTCTAGCATTATGTTTGAGCTTCCTTGTGAATGTCGCGGACTTTGTTGAAGATGCTATAACATAACGTGAATTTTATAATTCTTATTCAGCATAAATCTTCAAAGTAACTCTGTCTTTATTTCATACAATTTATACAATAATCCTGCACTACAACATTTATTTGACGACAAAATTTTGGAAAAATGAATGGAACCAATAACAATTTTTTTTTAATTTCTGATTAGCGACCACACGACCAAGTACTGCAAAAATAAACTACTAACATTTTCATCAATACTTGTACGTACTCGTCTTGCTGCAGCCGCTAATGCCTGCGGATCAACCGGTTGAGTGTAATAATGATAATTATTTGATCGCGTTGAAAGTCTGAATATAAGTTGAAAACTTAATTTTCAAGATCTTCCATTCTAAAATACAGTATAGTGAAACAAAAAAGATAGCAAACCTGCCACGTTCTTCAGCCCTCTGTGACGCTACCTGATTCATTGGTCGCGGGGACGACACGATTGGCCCGACACTACTACTAACGGATTCACGAGGTGATGAACGAGTTGAGCCATTTGGTGATCCACCAAGTGAACAGTGTCTACCTCTACTATATCTTCTACAATAATTGATCGAATTTAATCTAAGAATGAATATCAAGTTTCAAAAACGTCAAAAAAAGGCAAAATTTTTTTTCAAGAAGTAAAGAGCTTCACAAAAAAAGTGATTAAACAAAGATTATATGACCCATATGTTTTTCGAGGATTAATAGGAGACCCTTCGCTAATCGAACCAAATGGATATTTGGTAGGTCTCGAAGAATCTGTACGTTTCCGTGGCGGATCATGACTAAGATTTGAGCCACGAAGTATTACCTGAAAAATTACATCGATTCACTTTTCTACACATTTGTAGAGAATTAACAAACTTTATAAAAGTTGTTAAAAATAACAGAGAGAGAAAAAAACACCTCAGTTTCATCTTCATGAGCAGGTCTACGCCTTTTTCGATCTAACAACAAAAAGTAAACCATTTTTTCTGTATTATGCCTGTAATTACCCGATTTATTCATTCAAAGAATAATTTCTAGATGGAAATTTATGTGTGTGATGAAATAAACTGTGAAACTAAAAAAAAACAAAATATAAAAAACAAATATACCTTGAAGAAAGTAGTTCTCGGATCAACTTTTCCTTATCTTTGAAGCAACCCAAATTATTCATATGTCGAAACACATCTGGGTCAATATTTTCTTCGTTAGGTATTATATAAGTCTGAAAAATGAGAAGCCATTTTAAAACTTGGCATTAATTTCTCTTTAAAACTAACCAAATTATCTATTTTCGTACCCATCTCAAGAATACATTCTTTCAGATTCAAGAATATCAAGTAAGTAACCTGTACAACTTGAGCCATCGGTAATTCAAGTTCAAGTTCAGCTTTAGAGTTTTCAACAACCCACTGATGTTTGAATACTTCACTCAACTGAAACTAATCATTAATAAATATTACAAGTCCGTTCAATCAGTTTAAACAGATACAAATGTATGTTATTGCTATCTTCAAGTTAAAATTGAGTGCATCACAAATGAAGTTAAAGTTTATCAAAGTTTTAGTCTTTTTTCTTCTCAAAAGTAAGAGAAACGTAAGAATGAACTCACAGAAAGTCGTTTTTGTGGATCAACTTCAATCATAGCTCTTAGAAGATTTTGACAGTCAGCTGGAACGAAGTGAGGGATGTGGAAAGAACCTTTCTTAACTTTTTCCAGCAAGTTACGCAAATTATCATCATCAAAAGGCAGGGCACCCTTTAAAATTCTTTAATTTCAAATTCCTTCATGCTATCAAAAGAATATAGATACCTCCTTACTATGCAGCAGCTCTTGCTCGCAATAATAACTAATAAAAACAGACATGATATAGCTTACATTTTTGCAAACATGCGAATTTATACTATTATTGTTTACGAGGAACTATTAATATTCTTCGCTATACAAATAAAAGTGTCTTTGATGACTGTGCAGACACAATAAATAATAACTCACAACTAACAAAGCGTATAAGATTACACCGCAAGACCAAACGTCAGCTTTACGACCATCGTATTTTTCTCCCTCAAAATTATATTTCTACCAGTTTCGAACAAAATGCCATTTTGAGAAAGAAAATTAAAAACTAATTAGTGACTGTACAACATAGAATTTTAATAAAAGAAATGTCCTTGAAAAACTCAGTGATTTTTTAATTTAAAAATTAATATGCATGCAAGTCTGTTATATTTAAGCTAAAAAGCACATTATATCAGTTGCTAACAAATTTAGATCTAGATAGCTTCGTGTCAACTTTTGAAACAAGAATGGTTGAAAAACATGATAAATCTCTTTTAAGGGATCTAATTTTATACCCTTATAACTTCTGGACAAGCATAATGTGGTGACCCACAACTTGTTTCAAGCATTGAGCCCTCAACTTGCAAAGATGCCATTCCAAAATCAGCAACCTAAAATATGCTTCCGTGCCGAAAAAGAACTGACTATTTTCAGTAATTTCATTCGTATTACATTTAAAATAAAGTAGAAAAAAAGATTACTAAGAGACAAATGAAAGAAAAATGTTTCAATAAATTAGGATATATTAAACAGAAGTAGAAACTTGTTCTAGTAATTCATCATTAAAACCTGCTAATACTGAATAATTAGTAAGGAAGAATTTATAAACATTTGAACACAAACCTTAATATTGTTTCTATCATCCAAAAGTAAATTTTCAGGTTTCAAATCTCGATGACTGCAAAATGATAAAAAATTTATTTCTTATTTAACTTTGGAAGAAAAAGCTTTTTACTTACACAGAAAGCTATTATTAATTTTACGTGAATTTCACGAAAAATTTCATTTATTCATAAGGTAAGTCAGATATCAAAGCATTTTTTTGGTTTAAATCGAACATACAATAAAGTATTATTGTAACATTTATTATGCTTTTCACTTGCCATTCAAAAACAATCCGTTTGTACCAAAATATCCATAAGAAAGTCAAAAAATTCTATTCTAAATTATATGCCATGTCATACTCACTTTGAAGCTTTCGATCAAATTTCAAAATATATTGATTTGATCGAATTCTTACTTAAAATTGAAAGTATGAATGGCGAATGATTACTAGAATAAGAAATATTCGTAGTCACTGTGCATCAAAAATGCCAATCTAATAGCTAACCTACTAGTAAATAATTGTTCAGATTAGTGTAAGTAAATTACAATGACAATTACGAACAAAAATGTTTAAAATTAATCAGTTTTTTGCTTAATAATTAGCGGATTATAAATGAGGATTACTTTACTTTTGGCAGTTAATAATACTCATCTATGTGACAGTCACTTACTAACAATGTTAGCAATCAAGAGAGATGGAGCAATGGAAGGAATTTAGAATGAGTATTTTAAGATTTACGTAGTGCTTTTGGAATAAGTTGAAAAGCATAAATTAAACATAACTGAGAATTAATGCAGTCACTGTTGAATTAAGTATATTTTATATTTAGCTTTTATTTACAATTACTGATTTTTACTTACCAAATATTATGGGCATGACAAAAATCCAAAGCTGAGATAATCTGTCGGAAAAATTTCCTTGCTTCCTTAGCCATTAAACGACCTTTACGAACTAAATAATCGAACAGTTCTCCTCCGCTAACATGTTCTAGCAATAAATATCTAAACGACTGCATATTTTTGAATAGCACAAAATTTTTGTACGGAGATTTAGTTATTAGCGGAGTGAAAGCAGCATTTGAATGCAGTACAAAATAAGTGGCCATTTCGTCGGAAATAAAAATTTAAAGGATAAAAATTTTACTAAAAAATATAACTTTATTGTTTTTCGATTGCATTCAAAAATTTTTAGAAAATTAACAAGATCACGATCAATTTTTCTAATCAAAAAAGTCTCACAAATATTTTTTATTCTCGTACACATCATAGAGATGGAGCACATTTGGATGTTCAATTAGCTTCATAATTGCAATTTCTCGCTCCACCTGCAGTTAGGTAATCAGCAATGCTTATTATAGAATTGTGAATTTAGCTCATGCATTCACTGACAATTTACTTTGACTATGCTGTCAGTATTTCTACTTTTTCTCGATGTTTATAATACACTTTCATGTATAAAAACGGATTTCAGTATATTATTTCGACATTCTTTAGTAATAATGCCTCCAAGTTTTAAACAAATATATCACACACAGGTACACACGCATAGATATCATACACACAGATATTATGCACACACAGATACATACATACAGATACGCAGACAGAGATACACACACATGCACATATTTTTAAAAGTAAGATTTACAGTTACAAATATCGAAATATTGCATTCACTTTAATAGTTTCATTGTCAATTTATGCATTTAATGTTTTCTCCATTGCCAACTTCATTATTATTATACATAACGTGGAGTTGAATTTTAGTGAATTTCTCTAGTATACCTTCTGAAGAACAGATTCACTAAGTTTTTCTTTATTAACAATTTTCACAGCAACTTTACGACCGGTAATGCAGTGTGTGCCCGTTTTCACAAGACCTGAAATTTATGAAAATGAGACTAAAAAAAATTTACTTGTAAGTTTGGAATAGAAAAGCACGTGCTGGTATTCAGAAATCGAATCATATGATGTGGTTGTTAAGGAGAAATAAAAAGATGTAATGCAAACAACCTGTCTTCTTAGTGGAGACGCATTCATGATCATTTTCATCTCTATTTGTTTGATCAGTCATTTAATTTCTTTTTTTATTTCAAATGCAGTAGTGATAATATGTTCAACTATTTTACGGAAATTCCTTCATACTAGTTTAAATTTTTAAGGACTTCACAATTATATTCTGTTTTTAATTGTTTAAAAAAATATTGTGAAGTCAGCTTCTTTTTTTGATTGCTATGCTTGGTTCCAAATCGTACTCATAATCTAACAAGATAACATTGTGCTATCAGTGCTAAAACCATCCCCCACCATTTATTGTCATGAAAAAAGGGAAATTGAAAAACAACTTCTTGAAAAGTAAGACTGTTAAATAATTACTTCAATTCTTTTAATTTTCAAAAAGTTTATACCACTTTACAATCCTTATATTTATTTTATTGTGAAGAATTCAAGTAATATTTTCAAATTATGTGACACATGCTTAAGTTTTTGGTAAATTATAATGTTGAGAGTACTTTTTCTCACACTTATTTTTCCTTTTTTGTTATGTTATTATTTATATTTCTAGTTTCTGCTGCATCAAGAATTAGCCATTATTTAGCATAGAGAACAAGCTCCATAAATTTTATTTTTGCTTAACATTGAGCAATAATTGACATCATTTATTCCGAAAAGCTCTCGAATACTTTAAGATGAATGCGGTATTTATAAATGTCAAATGAATAACTTATAATGATTATTAATATTTAAGAGTTAATTTACGACTGAAGAAAGTTTAGAAACAGAAATTCATGTAAACTGTGTTTAGAAATTGTAACATGTTAAAGTTAATGCTCACTACTGACTCAATTCAAGTTTATGTTCTTTGCTCATTCTAAAATCAACAACTTCACTCCTCTTTTTCCATCATCTATTGAATTTCAAATTATATAGTTTGAAATGAAGAACTAGTTAAGAGACGAAATATTTTCATTCTCGAGAGGATTTCGGCACAGACTGAATGTGTCAGTGTTAGATACTGATATAATGACAACATCTCCAGCAATTCATTCTGACAAATTTTGCACTGTTACTTACTGCAAAAGAACAAAGTACATGCAATTTTCGTTTTTTGTCATACTTTGTTCTTATCATAATCAACATTTGCTTCCACTGCAGCAGTATATATTAGCATAAAGAATGCCCTTGTCGAATTCAGAGTAGAAATACGCAAATAATATTATGAACTACACTCCGTTGCAAATGGACATAATTTTTCAATCTTTCCTTGCCTTTTTTAAGAAAAATCAATTAAAATTTGTATGTGGTTGGAAGGGATTGAAGTTTAAACTACTGCATGTTTATTTAGGTCATATGAGCTAGTTTACTTCCTCAACATTTGCCTGACTCGACTTAATCAAAAAACTTTTTGCTACGATTAATTAAGTACTATCGAAGTTTGCCATGTGACCCATTATATGGCAGAAGACAAAAATGTGAATGTATGTCTAACTACTATACCTTGAACTAGTATTTTAACTTTAAAATATAAAATGCTATTAAATGCATTTAAAGTAACTAATTAATCAATGAATAAAAAATTAAATAAATTAATAAATAGTGCGCATTTGTAGGCAAATAAATACTAATGCGAATGACAAAAATAAAGAATTTGTTTTGATCCATCAAAGTGATCGTCTAGTATTAGAACTATCATTAACTTCATAAAAATGTTATGATACCAATTATCTGATTAATTCCACAACGTTTTATGAAAATTTTAAACCTTAAATGATAAGAGAGAAATAACATGAAAGAGTTACAAATTGCCTCAATTTACGTAAATTTACGTGTCTAATTTTGATGCTGAAAATTATTTCAAACAGAGATATAAAATAAAATGTAGAAGCTCATATAATGTTGCTAGTAAAGCAAGCAAGTCTATAGGGCCACTTTTCAATCTGAATTTTATCCAACTGCTAGTGAGGCCTTGGAAGTGCTAAACTTTACAGAAATGAAATGATTGTCAAAGTCAATTTTCGGTTACTTTTTGTAGCTTATTTCTTTTTCGTTTTCTAATTTTTTTAAAATGAAAACATAATACAGTAATGTTCAACATCATTAAGGTCAAAACATCATTCATTAACTTTATTAAGAGACAAAAATTCATGTTGAGCTGTATATCCTATGCTAATTTTACTTTGAGTTTCATAGTAACGCACAGGAATACGCTGGATACCTGAACTTTTTTGATGCCTATATTATTATCTATATTTCAATTTGTAATGTCAATTCGACAGGAATCATATTATTTCAGTTCTAGCAACAATCTTTCAATCAAATTATACAGAACAAAAAATAAATTGTGTAGAATTATGGAATTATTTTTAGAAGACTGAATTTAGAATCTTATTTTACTGAAATGAAAACTTGCTATTACGAGTAGTTAGTTAACGTAAGACATCTAGCAACCACCTTTCTCGTCATCCTATCATAATGGAAAGTAATCTGTTTCAATTACTATATGATTCGAATATAAAAGTATTCGTTAATTAAGATAATTTCATGTTAGTAACGTTCCATTTATTTCTATAAAAATCTTTTGAAAATGCAGTAACTGAGTAGCAGCATTTATATGACCATGATGAATAAGCGTCAAGGGGAAAATTATTTCAAATATATGCTTCCAAATTTTGGCGAAAACACTTACCCGTTTGACCTTTTCCCAGTGTTTTTTCAATTTTGTACGGACCGCAGTACTGTGCTTGATGTGACAGTGCTGCTACCACAGCTGTATTTGATGCGCTTCCATTACTTGCTGTCATCATATCTGTAATTGACGTTTCAAACAAGTAGCTTTTTCTTCAAGTAATATAAAAAGTTGTGCAAAGTTTCAGACTGTAACATCAAAATTGATAATTTTTTTGATATCACGAGTATTTACAACAAATGTTTTGTGTGCTGTGACACGTAAAATTCTATGTTGTATCCAAAAGATCTCAATTATTAAATTAGTTGACTATACATTAAGAAGTTTCAAGTTTTATTTAATGAAAAAGACAAAAGCTTGAAATTTTATCAAATAAATATTACTGCTGTCTTACATGCTTATCAAATATACTAATTACGTGTTCCTATAATATGAATATAATAATATATAAAGATTACGAACAAGTAATTAATGCATTTGATAAGCATGTAAGACAGTAGTAGTTTTAATCTTACTTTTACTGACTCATTCAGCGAGAAAAATCATTTATTTTTATTTGTGAAACGCTATATTTTTTCCAAGGCAAGAAATTCACAATAACTATTCATGATTAGATAAACCCGTGTACCTACTAAATGTGAAAAGTTTTAAGCCGTATGCTGAACGCAGTTTATATGATTTAAAAGTTTCATCTTGATTAAAGATTATTATCAGCAACAATTCTTAGATGTTACGGTAAAGTCAGTAATTATTGTCAAATTGGAATTTAATAAAATCATTCGTTCGCATATTTCATTCATTTGTTCATTTTGTTAGTTCAATTGCTCTATCATGCAATTAATGGTTAACAACTCAATTGTGGAAACAAATTATTCCAGATCTTCTATAAGTTTTACGTAACGTAGATTGAATAATTCAGATAACCGTAAGACAAACGATATTTAATTTTCTTTTCAGTTCTTTTTAGCAAAAGTGGAGAATTTTAAGAAGTAGGCATGGAACTGGAGAAAAAATTCATATATAACTATTATCATGTCTCGAAGAAATTTTCTATTCAGTTCATACAAGTCTGATAATCATAGGAATGATTATAATGATTAGAAATAATCACAGGAATCATTAAAAAGGTAAATATATAATTTTCAGCAGTGCTTTCTAATGCAACAGATACTGGCTAGTCAAAAATTTTAAAGATTTGAAGTATAAAATACTTATAAATCCTATTACTAAGCATTCTTTTCCTTATTTTCTCTTCAAAAAAATGATTATCGTCATTACTATTTTTGCCTCACAAATTCCAACAGATTACTAATTTGCATCAGAACTTTAACTAAACTATAATAGGTTTGCAATTCTTTCCCAAACAATGAGGATGATGAATTTTGTGCAGTGCAACAAAACAGATATTCAGAATTCATCAAATAGTAAAAACCATAAATTGAAACGACTTTTCCAGTTTCAGATCAAAAAGTTGTGCCATCATTCATACGAAATTTTAGTTATGACGAAAAAAATATTGCAAATTATTGTAAATATATGACAATCTCTTACTGTATATACTTTGAAACTTTCCAATGCTTATATTTAATTACGATTTACAATAAGCTCTTGAAAAGTTTAGTAATTAATGCGTCTTTCCAATATGAAAGCAAATGTAATTAAAATTAGTAAGAATCACTTTGAAAATTTTGAAGTACACGACAATATTTGCGGTGATCTGAGCAATAAAAATGCATTCTTTCTTAAATTTCACGCTTTGCAATTTTCTTCATTTTTATGCTAAAAATCTGCTTTTCATATGAAAATTGTGCTTGAAGAAGCACGATGTAAGAAGGCTTTTGGATTACTTCACAAAAGCTGTATTCTGTTGTGGTTTTTTATGTACGATTAATAGTATAATAGTATAATCATCTTACTGATCTTCCTCCCTACTATTTTTTTATCGGTCTCATTGTCCACTTCTAAAAAGTGTGAAAGAATTTTTCTACACATAGTTATTTCTCAGAATTTCTTAGCTCAAAAACGTAAATCTAGTATGGTATACTACTGCAGATTTGCCTTTTTTTCTCCAGCATACCATCTTTCATTCGAGTGATTAGAATGGTTTCGGACCAAATACGATGTGTACTGCAATGAAGTTGAGAAAAGCACATGAAAACCAAAAACAGAGGAATGAGAGGTTTGGAAAAAGTACGTACAGAAAAGATAGACAGATCGAGATATATTAGAATAGATTGGATTAGGTTAGATTAGATTAGATAGATAAGTAGATAGATATTGAAAGTGAAGCAATAGAAATGAATTTCATTTATGTTCTAAATTGGAAAATCATGATTTAGTCTTTTATTATCAATTTTATTTATTAAATGATAGTAGCAAGGAGTAAAATGGCCGAAAACATTACTTGGAGAAGAAGAAATCAAGCGAATGGTAACTGCCGGTTGTACTCTTTTCTCACGGACATTTGAGAAATAAATTGAAGAAAAAATACTAGTACTGAGTCCAGCAAACGGTGAACACTCTTAATCACACAAGCAATGCTTAAGCTGAACATTTTGAAAATTTTTCTTTTTGTGGAAGAAAAACCAAAATCTCCCCTTGCTTTTATATATTACTTCGTAAGGACCTTTCCTTCTCAACTTTTGATAAATTTTTTTTCCTTCACTTTTTCTGTCCCCATTTTTACTTTCTGCAAACTGGAATCAATTTTAATATGTACGTACACGAAATTTAATAATAAATAAGATTCGACTACACATTCTAAAACTTGATCTTTCCTTTCCTGCTTGTTAGCAAATCTATTATAAACTATCTCTTGTCCGTTTATTTTTTGGAGACGCCTAAAACATCGAATTAAACCTTTAATTCAGAAAGAGAAAAAAGAAAGGACTGTGTATTGTAGAGGATTTTAGACATGCATAGCTTTCCACTGATAAATCAAGAACAGCGATAAGAAGTGCTTCCTTTGATCAATTAAATCGTTGGATTCATTCTTCGGGAATTTGGCAAAATATCATGCTTCCGCCTAAACCTACCCTGCAGAATAGAGACCCCAGACATTCGTTAATAAAGTTCATTTGAAGCTAAAATTTAAAAGACGGTATATACAATAAACCTGTGCTTTGCACTTACATCTTAGAACTCATCCAAATGAAACATAAGTTTGAGGTTTAGAGAAAGCAATATTTTCGTCCATTACATATACAGGGAGAATCTTTTGCTTTAATTAGACATTTTATCATGATCTATAATTTTTGATATTTAGAAGAACAAAAAAATTATTCAATAAATGTTTATACTCGAAGTAGCTCTAACCTAGTAAGTCTCGTAGTTATGGCATGGACGAGAATGAGGACATATATGTTCCTGTAGTTCAATCTTTCAAGGTTTCACAAAGAAGCAACTGCAGAAATGTGCTCTGCTTAGCAATATAAAAAATGAATCGTTTCCATACCCTCCAATACATTCACTGAGCAGAAGCGTCGCTACTGTACTTATTTCTGCAGACAAAAATGGAACTTCAAGATTGCTTGAAGATTAAGGCAGAAAAGTATATAAGCACTTGATGAAGTTTTATTCGTTTTCTGGCAAAATGAAAGCATCTTTATACTTTCGAGAAAGCACTTCCGTCTAGCATCTCAAGACTAAAAAGTAAAACTTTCCGATATCCCTCAAACGCACAAAGATCATTCCGTCATACTACTCGTGTAAAGTTCTCTTCAACGTATTCACTCTCTCTTCAAATATGACATTCAGAAGTAATTCCTCAATCTTTCTCTATTTCTGCACTATTCCTTCTCGTTTCTGTGCAAGCCATTTTTCCTATTCATGATACAGAGTCAACTTTTTGCTTAGGTTTTATAATTTTTTAAGTTTTAATCAATCCCAACAATTTTTCATAACATTTGCTGCTCAGCTGAATTTTCTTTTTTTAAAAAAGAAAAACCTTTTTATAAACGTCTAAAGAATAACTCATCTAATTTCATCTTTTTTTGTTTGCATTTCCAAAAAACTCTTAACGCAGGATTACTATGATCAGTTAATGAATCAAAATAATCTTTGAAAGTAGCACATGATTTGTATATAATACTTGTACAAAGAAATGCGTTGCAAAATCGTTAAAATTTTTTAAAATAATAGTCAATAGAAACTAATAGGATGATCTAGTAATCATAAGAAGATATATTTGACTAAATGCAATAAGGAGTTATTAGTAAGCCATCCTTTCAATTTCGCTAACAATGATGCTAATTGTTTGTTTATAAATCTTATATTATGGAACGAATGGAGCATAATTAAAGTTGGTGATGTAGGGCTGTTTCTATTATTTTTGAGCAGTAATAAATCTGAGAGAAATTGCTCAATAACAGATATCAGATTCACCCAAGACATTATTTATGGACAAGGTTTGCATAGGAAAGTCTATTACTTTATTTATTCAATATTTATTCATTATTGAGTCCAACCATAACAATGGAAATCTAGGGCAGCTTGTATTTTTACCTTATCTTCAATTATCTTATCACTATGTAGTTTTTGTAACAATATAAACTCTAGCTAAAAATAAGATAACAGGCTGAAAGGTTTGCATGTTTCATCCACTGGTAGTCGTCATAGAAGAAGGCAAAAAGAAAGCTCTACATAATCAGTCAATGAATAATCTCCTTCTGCTCCCTAAATATTGCAATTCAGTCCACCTTTAATGATATAATGAAAAAAATAGTGAAGAGACAAACTCATTGGAAAAAAAATTGAAACAACTCACTAGCTTCATAATTCATTCTCGCATTAAGCTCATCGTTTACGGCATTTAATTTAAGATTGATTTCTCCAATTACCTATAAGAGAAATCTTTATTTCGTAAAAACAGTTTGAAAAATTCACGTACTAGATCTTAATAAGAGAAAATACGGTAAGTTTTCGCTTATTTTTGAAAATGAGATTGACGTTGGTTTTACACCTCCTTGATAGCGTCGAACATGGAATGACAGCTGAGCAGCAATAAATTCCTAACGGTGGACGAACTGCCTCATCAGTAATTTCTTTCTTGCTCGATCCATTTCATCAAGTTTGAAAGTTTAGCTTAAAAATAATATTGAATAACTTTTTAAAGAATACAATCCCCGGAAAGCATTATGCAGTAGATCTGTGTGCACTAATTAATTTGACCAGTGATTACCAGAACACTTAAAATGCAATCAACTTTGGATACCAATGATAATTATTCGGTCAGTCCTTTAAAGACGAAAGAGGTACCGAAAAAAAGTTGACTTGAGAATACAATTCAACTTGTAAATGAATGGAGACGTAGAAACGGAAGCGTTAAGTGCTTTTGCTTGCATGGATAAGTAAAGCGATGTTTACAACAACAAAAAATATGAGAAAAGACTGATAATAGAATGTTTGATAATCATACTAGCTAGTAAACATGATAAAAGTAAAGTGACAAAACGAATAAAAGGATGAATTCGTAATCACTAAACAATATTTATGAGCTGAATGTCGTGGTTGTGGTATGCATAAAAGTATAGATAGATATGTAGGCATAGTTAGGACCTTGAAGACCTAACGGAGATAAAACACATACACTTTGCTTAACGAAGAAGGGAAAATGAAAAAGGGTTGTTATGAATGAGTCGAGAAAAATGATGGAGTGAAGAAGAAAGTCAGGATGGAAGGAAAGAATGATTCTGGAAGGATAAACCGAACACACGATGGCTATTTTGCATGCTTGCACAAATGAAGAGAGACGCGCTGCTTTTTGACTGCCGTACTGCTACTGCTACTACTACTACTTGCTGCTGCTGCTGCTATTTCTTTGCAGTTCCAAGTATGGGAAAAGCAATGCATGTGCAGAAGATTTCTGCCTCATGCAAGCATAGAGGAGAATATGTCACACATCAGTCAGTAGGTTGACTGCTTACTCACTTACTTACTTACTGACTCGTTCACTCACGTACTTTCTTACTTACTTTCTCATGTCTTATTCTTCTAGCTGTACTCAGCAGTGATATGATGTAACTGTTCCTATTCTCTTTTCTTCTATATTTTAACTAATCTTAGCTTCTACTGACCTGTCCACTTCTTGCTTTTTTATTTTCTTAGCCCCAGTTTGCTATTAAACTGAAGAACTAAAGCTGTCCCTGATTGTGTAATTGTCTGCTTTGTTATGTCTCAACGACTAATTTTTCCTTACCACAAACCATTTATCTCACAGATGTCATGTCACATTTATCCATGACCACGATGTGACCCCTGTTCATTTCATGACACTTTGCTTCTATCTTCTCTACTTGCATTCACTGTAGGTACAACTGCAGCTGCTGCTTCTACTGCAAATGTCCACATGCCCATACATAGTCACTGTTACTCTTCGCTTGCTCTCCTTTCTTTCTCTTTCCTTGCCTTGGCTTGTCTAGGCTTGTCTTCGTTCAACTTGGCCCCGTCTATGTCTGCCTTGCTTAAACTTTACCTCGTCAAGTTTCTGAGAGTATGAGCAAAATATGAAAAAAAAAAAAGAAAAAAGAGTCACATCCATTTTTCACTGATTCACTTCCATTCATACAAGAAAAGAGCCAAAAATTCATCTCGTTTCCATTTCACTCCCTACACTGATTAAAATATCCTATGATAAGCAGTTGACCTATCATTAAATAGTATTACCATATATAAGAAATCATTTTTTCGAATCTTCTCATAATTTTATTTACTAATAATAATCCTAATTCAGCTTTCATCTATGAAAACAGTGAACACTTCAACGAGTATCACGTATTTTAAAAGTGTAAGAAACAAAGTATCTCTTAAGCATTTAAAAATATAAAACGAGGAAGTTTCCAGTTAATTAAATTATTTTGACTTCTAAACAATTTTCCTGAATATAAACTAATTTCAACTATCTACACCATTCTTTATCAAGTTTCATCTGTAGCGCACTTAACCTCTTACCAAAAACTTACAATTTGAGCGAAAACAACTCTGGCGCAACCGACCGCTTCTGTCAATAATTTGTGCACATAAGATAAATTTCAATGAAGCCTGCAAATACATGGTTGAGTACTGTTCGATATAGTCTGAGGAAATGGTACTGCTCATTATGCAAATTTTGCTTTCTTTCATTCCAATTTTGATTTTTGGGCTTTATCTTAGACGTGCAAGAGAGCACAAAAAATATAGTTTAGATTTGTATTATTTCCGACGATTGAAATAAGTATTGATCAAACATATGCGGTAAATAATATTGAAACTTTTAAATTTTCCGTTGGAGGAAAGATTTATGTCAAAAAAAGCGGGGAATCCAGATCGTTTTATCCAAGCTGGTGTAGAAGCAAAAGACATGATAACTTTTGAAGCAATACTTATAGTTAAAATCGAGAAATGTGACTGGTTTACATGGAAAGTCCTCGTAATTGCTGAAATAATTATATTTTCTTCATTTGGTTTGATAACAGCGACAAGTTTGTTTCATAAGTTAATTTTCGAACAGAAGCAACTGGTACAATCAGTAATAACAACTCAGTTAACAATAAACGTTGAAATACTATACTGCACAAGAAATTCACATCTTCAAAATTTATAGCACAATTATACTGTCTCATCTGTTGCAGTCTCACAAATTTTCCTCAAAACAGGCATTCAGCATCATTCTTTGTTCTTGAGCAATAAACATGAATCATTGCTACTAGTCAATAGAGAACAGAAGTGTTGCTTATGGAAACTTTGCTAACCAAAAAAACGAACGACCGATGTAATGATTTTTGCAGAAAGTTCTCTCACTTGCAATGTGCTGCAAAATTCAAATATATATTATAGTGAATTTTCACTTTTGCTAACGAGGATAATCTTCAATAATGGTGCGAAACATTTGAAAATTTTCAAGTGATAGTTTGATTTAGACAGTAGTCTTCTTCTATCGTTTAGTTTTGTAACATGCTAATATATTTTGCTATTTTTTACGAGAATATTCTCTGAGCAGAGCTGCGATTTCCAAAATTACTACTTATTGACTTAGCAAGTCGATAATGGAAATATAATGATTATGATCTTCTGTATCGCCTTGCATAATTGATTACATTCATTTGATCTTGTGATTCCTCATACTTTTAAGATATCAAAAAATTAATTCTTATCAAGTTATAGATCAATGCCGGTTTTGAATGATATTTTGTCGATAAATGTGGAAATGCCACTGAATGATGAAAATAGTATTAAGGAGCGAGCTTTGTTTCTGATAGAAACGATCAAACCTTCGTGGGATCGTGAATTTATTTCATTCAAAGTCAGCTAGTTACTTCCAGTTTTTTGTTTAAAGCATTAAAAAAATATTTCATTCACCAGCCTAATCGTATATTTATGATTACTAGTTTAGATTCTAACTGGCGGAATAACAAATAGAATTTTATGTGCTACGTATACTCCAACAAATATCACTGAAGAAAAGGAACGATTGCTGATTCGAATTTATGGAAATAATACTAGTAAAATTATTGATAGGTATTGAGTCTTATTTTCTTGCTTCGAATGGAATTCAAATTATTTAAAAAGATTGTATCCTAGAATTGTAGCAGTATATAGTTATTTTTCAACGTGTACTTCAAAATACTGCTGATAAAACTACTTAAAATAGTCTTATTATTATTATTATTATTATTTTAATTATTTTGCTAGCATATTAGCTTCTTATATTGCTAATAGTTTATTTATTCATATCTATGACTGTGAGTTTTTCATCAATTTCTGAAATGATTTAGACTGATTATTGTGACTTCCTATGAAAAGTGAAAACTTGTCTGGGTTAGCAAATTACATAATGTTATCTGCCATAATTTTCATAACTGTTGCCATAATTTTCATAACTGTTGATTAAAGAACCAAAGAAATCATGAACTGGTTATTTTTGGCGTCACATGGCTGTGCTGCTGAAGTTTATGCAAGATTTTCCAACGGTATTATCAGTGGCTTTATTCCAGGAAACACACTTACTGTTGATAACATATGTGACGAAAATATTGTTACGTAAGCTACTTTATGACAAGTGTTTTATTGTTTTCGATGAAACAAAATGTTAAATTTTTGTCTCATTTTAGCGGTAATAGTCATAGTAAAAAAATTGATTTTTTCTTCAAATAAATTACATATTTACCAATAAATTACATTTTTACCACAATTTGTCTACTGCTTGTAATTCCTGAAATTAGAGCTTTTAATTTAGACGATCTTAACCAATTCATGTCAAAATACAAAATAAAAATAAATTGGAAATTAACATTCAAGTTAGAATTTTAAAACCTCTTTTCAAAAATAGTGATATTTAAATTGAATATTACAAATTTTCGACGCTTTGAAATCGTTTTTGTAATGGAAAGATTGTCTCAATCATTTGGAATCAAGTAATTTTGTGCAGTGATATCAAAATACATAACAAACTAAAAGTGAATTTCAGAAATACTTGTAAATCGCTTTCAAAAATGCATAAGTTGAGGCCTGATACAGGCAGTGAAACGAAGCCAGTATTACTTTTTAAAATCAGGCAATACTTGGCCAATTTCTCTGATAAATATGAGGTATTTTGCCGTATTTTTAACTTTCAGTATTTGATAATTATTGAAATAGTCGTGAGTGAATTATTTTTCTCATGCCCTTTATGCCATCAAAATGTAAATTTCAAGGATGAAAATCAGCAACTGCAGTTCGATAACTTCTTCAAACAAAATGAAATTTCATTTGTGAATGATATGGAGCGATTAGGAGAAATCATCGATCAACAACAATTCCGAATCGTTTTTTGTCATAATGATTTGTTGATTCACAATATTATCCATGACAAAAAAACTGGTTGTTCAGATCTCATCAATAAACTTTAAATTGAAATTATTATTAAAATATACCAAAATAAATGTTATGTAATAGAAACAAATTTTGAAGTGAATGTTGTAAATTGGCTAGAAACAATTCAACTTTATTATTATGTAAAATTGGAATAGCTTGTAGATTATTTAGAAGCAAATTAAAATATAAAAAATTTAGTAAAAGCAATTCGTTCTGTTATCATCCTATTTCTTGTAAAATAGATTGAAATTTTCCGACTGACAAATACTTCATTTGCATCTTTTGTAATTTTGTAACATTTCGTTATCACTTCAGGTTCCGTTAGTTTTATTGATTTTGAGTACGCTGATTACAATTATCAAGCCTTCGACATAGCAAATCACTTTTGCGAATATGCTGGTCAGTTTATGATCGTCCCTTCTAAAATGCTAACAATATTCATTTCAAATGGTACCAAAAAGGAACAACATGGATCAACTAGCTGATGGAGGAAACACATAAGTTCATTTCCAAGCATCTGAAGCTAATGTGTTTGGCACAATTAAATATGCAAAATTTTAAGTACTTTTGCGATCCAAAAAGAGGCAACTTATTTCAAAAAATTAAATTGTAATGAATATCATGTACAGATGCGACATCATCTACAAAATGTAGCATTTTTGTAGTAAGGTCATTGCATTGATCACCGACTTATTTCAAATTCTAAGGTGTGGAAAATTTCGACTATTCTCGTTGCCCGGACGAGGAATACAAACGTATTTGGATCACGAAATATCTTAACTTCTTTTTGGAAAGAAATCCTACAGAACATGAAATTAATTCTTTACTTCACGGCTGTAATGTCTTTGAAGCGGTAATTGTTTAATTTTTGTTTGCTATTTAGACAAAAAAATTTTTGAACGAGAAACTAGCTCTCCCAATACATTTGCATTTAAAAAAAATGTAAACTGATCCTGAATTATAGGCTTCACACTTCTTTTGGGCTCTTTGGGCCTTGGTTCAATCGCAAATATCAACTATTAATTTTGATTATCTGGCGTAAGTTTCTTCGATAATACATAAAACCTCTTAAAAATTTATTCACATAATATTTATGTCTAGTTATTAATAAATCTTACTGAAGAATAATATAAATGAGAGAATATTATTTTAGGCGAAAAGTTACTACTGTTGATTACAAACCTGATTATTACCATAATTTTCAGATACGCGATTCAAAGATATCAGCTTTTCCAAAAATGCATGCTTGAAAATGGATTGAAATATTGACAGATTAGTCAGAAACTACAAATTTGTTATCCTTCATATTTATTGTTTATCGTTAGCTCCTTAATGCATACAAGTGCCATTTGGAAAAAAACCAATTTCCAATTAATACTTTTGAATGCAAAAAAATGAAACGGATTTAAATAGCGCCACAAATTATATTGTTTCAAATCATTAAAAATATCCATGTAACTTGTGAATTTGCAACCTGGAATTTACCAAACGTAATTGAAGATCAGTCAGTTTGAGAGCAGGATGAATCATTGTGTATGAAATGTAGCATATAGAAAACATTTATTCAATACATAAATTTACTTCATGGTTTATTATCTAATGAAATAGCAAAAAATAAAAAGTACCCGTCTTTATTAAAACAAATTTGTAATTAATTCATGAAGCCAATCATATTTTTACCTCAGCATTAAAAAGTCGAAACCCAAAAAATATTACTACAAATTTTTTGCGGTCAATCAGATATGAAACCCAGTTTCGCATTTTAATCTTTGATCTCGATTGTCCATTTTGGTTCTCAAAAGATCTCAAATTCTACGATTGCTTAATTTTCCTACACCGAAAAATGGCCTAAGATATTAAATAATTTGTTGTGTTATTCAAATAGATAATATAAATCTTGATTTTTAATTTTAATCCCATTCTGTCATTGCTGAGACCAAAAAATAAAACTTTTAAGTCGGTTATTTATATTTGAAACTTATAAGGCACTCTTGAAAAATTTATAGTTCTTCACGTCTATATAAATTGAATATAATCAATAATTTTGATGAAAAATGAAAGCTTTAATAATGATTAGTTTTTTTATTATAATTCTCAAAAAGTCTCGACAATACTTTGAATAATTCCGAAGAGTAATCAGGCTGACTATTATTTCCATGGTGGTGTAGAAGGATCCGGACTTCTTCACTTTCTAAGACAGAATTCATATGAGATAAGATATAAATGCAACATTCGAATTTTAGCTCTTCCAAATTGTGTTCCTGGAAAAAATATTTGCAATTACATCACATGAAATGGCTGTGCAATATTTTATATTGTCGTGTCATATATTACGAAAAATAACACAACATAAAGTAACACACGAAGTGTTAAGATCATAAAGTATATAATACTTAAATAATTCCTATCTTTTTCAGCAGTGGAAACAATAAATAAATGTTTGTTAGTGATTCACAAGATTTTGATTCAGAATTGTATTTACGATAGAAAACTAAAAACTCAAACCACAGCAAATGAGAATGCCTCAGTAACAGTCTCTCTACACATAAGTATCTTGATACTTCTGATCGCTTCGTTTTTCAAAGAACTGAGGTTGAAACGAAGAGCAGCTTTAATTAATTCTAGTTGTTGCGTCAATGGTTGGTTACTGATTATTCCATATTGCCCACCAGAATAAAGGTAAATCATCAGAAGCTTAAAACAATTCAAAAACGTTACATTGATTGACTACTAATATAAATTTCATCAGTAAAATCTGTCTTCATAATTTTGCTATTCTTAATTTATTCGTAAAAATGAAAAATATATATCGAATTTATTTATTATTACAAATATTTATTTATCACCTCGAAAATACAGAAGAGTTAAATTTTTTTGCCATTTGAACAGAACTAACATTAAAGGTCTGAAAAGAGATGTTTTCCAGGCATATTTGATTGTTCTTATCAAATAAAAGTCTCCGGATGACATCAGATGTATTCATCAAAACAATGCGATGGCCGTAGAAAACTTTTTTTTCAACCTGAAGATATTTTTTGTTCGCATTTGTTGTTTATTGCTGAAGTTGTATAAATGAGAAAATCGAGATTCACTATAGTGGTTACATATTTTAAAAGTAAATAATATTAATTTTTCAGCTGTCTAAAAACATTTACAGTGTAATAATTTAATCAGTTATAATAGAGAAATAATCCTTGCAGATAATTAGCTAATGCAGAATACATATCTCTCACCAGAAAAGTAATATCAGCGAGATCAGGATTGTTTACAAATCTCAAATCAATCACTGATTTGCGATTTTGTTGGTGGCTTTCATAATTTTCTGACTTTAATAATGTTTTGTTCTGAACAACATGCATGCGCTGGTATAGAAAACTTATTATTGTCGCTGTTCTTTGCAATATATCAGTTGCATTTGGACATTCTCTACGCACAATTTTAAACAACTGAAACAGTAAATCAGAATTGCTTCGAAAAGTGAAGAAAGAGAATTAAAATGACTGTAAAATTTAGTTTAAATTTATAATTAAAAAAAGTAATTGCAAATAAATGGAATAAAATTTCATCTTTTTATCAGCTTTTTAATATTATGGTTCTCGTTATCAGAGAATTGTAACTTTTCAATTTTTACATCACTTCCTTCAACACTTTATATTAATTATGAAACAAATGTGATAAAAAGTTAATGAGCTGAATAAAACTAACCAAAGTTGCAAGTCCAAAAAAATTCTCGGACGTTAGTTCATCTGCTAAACGAGAATTAAAGTCATCAAGCAATGAAAGCTCATAATCACGATAGTTCTGAGCACAAACAGCTTCAAAACACGTTATCCATGTATGCAGATTCCACGCTACACCTTCAAATTTGTTTGATAAAACTATGAAGACTGGAAAGTTCAGAAAATAGAGTGAATTAAATGAAGAGATAAATTATAAATTTTTATTTAGAAGCTAACTTCCACTTGATATTCACTAGCTATGAATATATATAAAAGGGATAAAAATCACCAATTTTGCGTAGATCCATAGCGATATCAATATTCCACATTTCAGCCGCATAATACATTGCCTCAAGAAATGCCTCTTGTTGTTCTTCACTAAAAATACTCAGAAATGAAAACATACTGTGGATAAAATATATTGTGTTACGGTGACCAAATAAAAACAAGCGGAAACGGTTTGCGAATTAACAAAATATACTATGCATTATCAGCCTTAAATAAAGCGAATATTGAAAATAACCTCTGGGAGGTGACGCAAATTTTATCCACATTCGTTCCTTCACTTCGATCAAGAAAATCCTTTAAGCTCAGGGTTTCTTCCAAAAGCTTGTCGTTTGTTTCTAAATTACTATATCTATTTTTGATTGCATAAAAGCTAAAATAAATTTTGCTCAAGGAAAACCTGCCACAAAAGATGAGCAAAAATTTATTAAAACACACAAATTCACATTAGTTTCACTAATTAGTAAAAGTGCTACTCGACTTAACAACTAAAGCCATGTCTTTGATATAATTTCAACGACAACTTTTATGGAGGCTGCCAGATGCTTTTGGTACTTTGCATGTACTTGACAAAGTTATCCTTATTATCATTCGCATGGTTAGTATTGCTTTAATAGAAGTTTTTTTTGTAGTTTAAAGACAAGACATATTATGGTCAAATAGTTCTACTTTGAACAATAAAACCTGTCAAAGAATCACCTGACGATAGTATCATTTTTAAGATTTGCCTGTGATTGTATATCGCAGCTAATGCAATAGCTGATGGAGATCCTACGTGACGAAAATTAGATCTTAGAAAATCGTAGCTCATTGTTGTTCGGAATGGATTTGCTTCAGAATTTATTAACTTCTTCACAATATCTTCCTGACCTAATATTGTAGCTATCTAAATAATTCCTCATTCACTGTAAGTTAAAACTAAATGAAGAAAGTAATTCAGGTCACAAGAAAATAGTGCATTATTCTTTAACATTACTTTTACACTTCATTTCCAATGTACTTGATTTGCACATCTTGATATGATCTTGTTCCGACCTTCAAAACTTTTATCACTTGACATCATGATCTTTGCTAATTATTTAGATTGCTTAAGGGCTCTTTAAGTACTTTGTTTTTTTGTTTTTTATTTCATTAAATTTTAATCAATTTCTTAATAAAATTTAAAATTACCCATTAAAAGAATGTAATCTTTGAGTGTAGAATGAACTCTTTTTTTGCAATTACTTTTGTTAATTTAAATTTGCTTGGTGCTGCAGTTTAAGAGCATTGATTTTTTTATTTTAGCAATCATTCAAAAAATTTAATCGATACTATTCAAATCACAGTACAGTGTTATTTAATTTAATTCTAGACTTGATGAGCAAATTTTCACAAACCTGTAATGGTGTTTCTTTGATCACTGTATTGCTTTCAACTTGTATCGATGCATCAATAAGCCGTACAGTCAAAGCCTGATTTTTCCGTGCAATAGCCCTAAATGTTTTCTTCAAACAATAACTTACCGCAGCTTTAATATTCTCGTTTCCTAATATTTTCTCTCCAATACACTGTAATGTTGTGCTACGACTTTAAATTGCTTCTAACTTTAATTTTGTTTGCCTTTTAAATTAAAATGTTGACCATGTTAGAGATGTCCACCCAATGAAATCTATCAGTGAGTCATTGCAATTTTCGATAATTTGTTCATTTGGCACAGAATTACACAATGTTGGTACAAGTGATATCAATGCATCCGCTGCTCGATTGTTTCCGATGAGAATTGCTTCTGAGAGTGGCGTTAAACCCTAAATAACTACAGATTTCTTCAACATTTAATTTATTTTTAAAACTTTTATCTACGGAATTTAATATACGACTTCATCAAACCCTGGATTTTCATTGAAATTAACAATGTCTTATCTACAAATTAAACTGAAACTAATCGTAATAAATTACTAAACATAAAATTGACAAAATGGTAAAAAGTAATAATAATAAAAGTAGTTAATTAAATGAAAAACAAAAATTTATGGTTTTACGTATGCATTATGATAATGTAGTTCATCAGGTCCAAGATGATTTAATGTCATTTTAACAACTTCCTCAGAATCGGACTTTAGCAACTGCAAAGCAATTCCCTGTCTCAGTAAAGTTTCTGTATTGTTAACTGATGTTTTCGATCTGAAAATATTCACTTGCACCAATACGGATTAATTCTGATCAAAATTTATTTTATAAATAATTTTGTTCTCACTGAAACTGTTTTATAACTAATAAATTGGAGTACATAGCATTCAAATCAAAATTAATGAACAACTTATAGAAATTATAATGAAAAAAATAGAGGATTATATTTCATTTAGTTAAAAAACATTTTAAATATGACGTGATTTTGAGTTAAATATTGTCAATGAGTGCAACATATCAATGCTTGCATTCAATTTATTGAATCATACAAAGTTTTATTGATGCTTAAGTCAATAAATCGTGGAGGACAGTCTAGATTGAGCAAAACTCTAGCTGCCTGTCTAACATCATCCTCGTCGACAGCAGTAGCTGAATGATGAATTGCGTACGCTTCTGATATTCTGATCCATTCACCAAGTCTCAATAAATTATTGCCGTAAAATATTGTTTACAGGTTATTAATTTTATGTCTTACTTTTATAATCAACCATAATTGCTGAATACATTTAATATCTATCTAATACCTAAAAATGAAGAATTCATCAAAAATTTTTTGTTCAAGTAATTTTTATTTTAAAAATGACCTTTAGCAACTTCTTATCATATTTACTGTAAATTGATACAGGACTTGTTTTTAAAGAAATATTTGTTAACTACTTAATAGATTTTTGACACTATAATTCAATTAACATTCAAATACTAACTTTTCCTCTGGTGAACAATTATGAACACCACTGGATAAATGTTTTGAACTGTTTAAATAGTAAAACAATGCTTTTGCTCCATTTCGAGTAAAAGCTAATGCACTGAAAATCACTTACATTTTAACAAAGTATTAAATTTAAAGATTGATGATAAATTAAACAAGTAAATTATTATTAAATTGACTATGACTTAATTTTAAATTGATTCCCTTGTTAATGATTTATGTAAAATTCTTTTAAAAGGTAAAAATTTCAAAAAATTAACCAGTTTTTTAAATTCGACTCACAATCTTCAGAGTTGTTATCAGTGAGAATTTGCCTCATTTCAAGAAAACTGAGCAGTTCACATTCTTCACTAATGCATGAATGGGCGAATTCCTTTGGACCTTAATAATAGTACGTTTTACCAAATTAATTTGACCTATAGTTTTTTAAATATCTTCAAGATTTATTAGCTAACCTTAGCGTTAAAATTCTTATAACATTTCTAAAATCATACATAAACTTCTGAAATCTGTGCTTTTTACACATAAAAAATAGAAATAAATGATGTCACCATCGAGCACCATTCGTTTTTCAGTTTGTTCGAAAAGTTTCCTAGCGTTTTCTTGGCCATCTAATATTTTATTTAGAGTTTGGCTCGTTAAATTGCCATCGTTTACTAAAAACTTTTAAACCTTATATGTTTACAATTCAAGCTGTTATTTTTTTATTTTTTTTGCTTGCAAGTTTGTAGACAGAATTATTGATAAGGCAAGACTCGAAAGGTACTTGAGAAAGCTTTATTTAAATAGCAGTAATTATTTAAACATAAAATTTTTATCAATTACATTTAAATGTGACGCAGGCAAGAATGATTTCTTCCAAAAGACATTCCAGTACAGCGCAAAAAAATATAACAATCTGTAAATTTAAAAATCAACTCAAATTACAAGCTGAATCTTATGCAATTACCAAAAATGTTAATAACTGCTTTGCATACTATTAAAAGTGAGAAAACAGTGAAAAGTTGACAATGTTTTACTTCATCTAAGATAATCTCGCTGATTCGATTTTCGATCATCCATTTGTACAAATGTCCAACATTGAAGGATAAGCAGGCTCGACGTTGCAAACTCATTTTAAATGCATCCGATCCCCCGAGCGCATAAATTGAAATGGCCTGCATGCCAGCTTTAATACAGCATTCAGCTACTGAAGTGCGAAACATTACCTGAAGAATTTTGACTTCTAAAAAATTAATAGCACCAAAGCAATATAAGTGCCAGAGGTAAATGATTATACTTTCTTTTGAACATATGTGCTTTTTTCGTTTATTAGCAACAAAATTGTAAAGCTAAAGAATGAAACTATTGGCAAATAATATAGTAACAAACTATAATTCTACCGATAAGTTTAACCTTTACAGCAGTTTTGACGTCGATAATACGGCACTTAATGAATTGCTGAGAGAGACGTTGAATCTCATCAGCCATCAAGTATATAGTATTTTCCAAGCATCTTTTTAACCTACACGAAAATCTAACTCAATTATCAAAATCATTAACAGCTTTCAAAAGTAAAATTCCAATTGTCTCTTGTTTAACAAAATCAATGTTAAGATTCTACTTTGTTACTGCTTGATCATCAACAATGTCACCATACTCTTTGCATCTTCCACGTTTTATCACTTCCATTATTTCTACATCACTTAAGTGAAATTTCTTCCTTAAGACTCTGCAAAAATTAAAATTCAGAGCAATGAAAAATAAATGATTTTATCGCTTTTTATTATAGTACTATAACAACTTTTCCTAGAAGCCATTATTAATTAAATTTTATTCCTTATATCAACTTTATGGGCTTGATTTAATGCAATAAAAATGGTAATTTGCTCACTGGTGCCTGCTTTCCCTTACTTCAACATTTATTCTGATTCGAATCTGAATAATGTCGTCTGATCATGGCTGATTGCCAATGAACGACCTAAAACTGAATAATTTATTTTTAATTATCCAAAAAACAAAACCTGCCTTGTTTTAGCGGATGATTTTGACTTTTGATTGCTTTCTCCTCCATTTGGTGCTATGAAAGCAGGTTTTTCTGATCCATATTCGACATTTGAAGTTTGCGTAAAAATTGAATTGCTTGCGTCATAATGAGTGATGTGTGAACCAAATGATGGTTCTGGTGATTTACCATTTACTACTGATCCACGTGTTCGTTCAAGTGAATGCCGGCAACGACGACGATATGTTGCTGTAAGTTATTTGCATCTGAACTATGATGAATCAGGATAAAAAATGTAGCGAAACGTATCAAATAGCTATATATATTAAATCCAAATCAAACATTCATAACAGCTGTCCATATTTCAATCGTTATACTGATGTTGTAGCCATCTTCTTCAGTATATGCATCTCAATGTTAAAAATCATAGAAAACTAGACCTTGATTAGTCTGATATTCTTTTACGAAGAACCTTACACATAACAAGTTACTTTTCATCCAGGCAATACGCAGCTACCTGACTGATATGCAGAATATTCGCTTCTTTGGTGATTTAATAAAGTATGCGGTGATGAAGGTGAAATCCGCGGTGCAGAACGATATCCGCTATCGGTTGGGGACGCATTTAAGAGTAAATGTGGAGTACTACTAGAGAGAGCATCTCTGGAGGATTCACAGAACTGGTCATTCCTGCGTATATCATTTCGATAACAAAGTATACTGAAAAATTTTCTTTTAAAATAAATATTTATGTGACTACTTTAAATAGCGTTAGTGTTCACAGCTCTTAACTTGAAATTGTTTATGTAATAATTACATGAAGAAACTAATTAAGTGTAAGTTTTAGTTTCAAAAAAAATTGATGACAAAATTACAGCTGGATGAATGAGATTATTTTGAAACTATTTGAGTAGTTTCAAAAAAGTCAGTACCACATATAAAGCCATTTTATGACTGTTGAATGTGACATACAGTTATAATCATGAACTCGAAATTTGCAATTATAAACATTAATGTAAATGTAAAAAAGTAAAGAAGAATACTCTAATTTTGTGCTTCTACATTATTTTATCCCAACGCAATGTTATGAATGACTGTAAAAACTGGCATATTTTGAGCCTCTTTTCTGATTTTCTAGACAAGACATCATTTTTTTCAGCAATTTTAGCCCTGATAACAATAGTGAAATATAAATAAAAGCATATCCAAACCTGTTAGGCCTTTTCAAATTTTGTTCCCAAGCTATACTCAAATTTAAATTTGGCACACTTCTGTAGAGCTTTTTTACTTCTTCAAGTGTATTCATGGATTCTATATTATGTTGGAAAGGATATGCGTCACAGGGTGGTGCTTTATGGCAATCCCCATATTTCTTTTTGGGCTAAAAAAATCTTAATATTTTACAGTTTTCAGTGAAGCACGCAGCAATTAATTAAGAGCTCTAAATTGAAAAAACGAAAGATATACTCACAACTCACATCTTTTCATGAAATTATTTCTGGAAATAATCAGCTGAAGTTAAAAATTATTTTTCATTCAAGAAATAACAAGGCAAGAAATGCCTGTAATGATTAGCATTCGTTTTTTTCGCATCTACTCTTTGTAGAGTACTATATGTTATTTGAAAATACTTCGAACTGTGAGATATTTATGTTGATAACAGTGAGGTGTTTGTGCAAAGTGAGCGCTTGCTCAGGCTCGGTTTATCTTCCATTTGCTGCTTTGTGATGCGATACGAGTTTCCCGCTCAACCGCTCAGCAACTTAGCAGAGCCTATGAAAAAATACTTCACATACATATATAAGGTTAGTTTTCGTTTTCGCTCTATGGATTCTGGCGCTTGATCGCACCTCGTCACTCTCGCTGTACTTTTCGCGCGCTCAGATTTATTGTGCCCATCGTTTTTGTTTGGTCCTCGTAAAATCCATATTATCAGAAGAGATGTTTTTGAACGTTTTCTTGAGAAATATCGGTTGAATTTATGCCTCGACGTGATCACATATACTGATCCTTCTTCGCGTTAGCTTTGTGGAAGTTCGTTACAACCCCATCCCAATCCATCACATAAGGAATTATCTTGATCTTGCACTTCATCTCTGATCCAACTTATTAGCAAACAGGTCATATTTTCGCTTTTTTCGGACTCGGCTGCTGTCAACCTATTCCAGTATCGTGCTTCATCTTGCGGGCGTAATGTATTCGTATCGTAGTTATATTGATGAATCAGCTGTAGACAAGATTTTATTCGTCCACAAATTGTATAGCTTTGCATGGTGGGGTTTCTTTTCTATTTCGCTATAAAAAAGAGCCTTCTGGGCTGCTAACACGTTTTCGACAATAGGATTTTCTGTGAGGTTGTTTTTAGGTAGGGCACAATAATTGTCAAGTAGGTGTTATGAGCTTTCTCCTGCTTCAAAATCGCTGCCTCTTGTTGTACATATGGGCGTTGTATCTACAAGAACATCTGGCTCCGGTACACTGGCAGTATGTTCTTTTACACCCTTCACATAGCTTTTTCCAACCGCATCTGTTTTTGCATTGTTTTCATTTATAATTCCAAATGCGGACTTTTTCCTTTTGCCATCCATTTTATGTTTCTTGAACGCAAGAGCTCAGAGTCGACCGGTCAGCAATTATTTAAGGCCAGTAAATTTTATGCCATAATTAAATTTGCTAGAGATAGAGTAATTAATTTATCACTTAGGATCCCCTTGCCATTTAGTCATTATTTTTAAAAGTCTAAATTTGTTCTTCACATACATATAACTGATATGTTCTAAAAATTTCGAATGCAGTAAAATAGGTATACCAATATAAAATAATAAGCATTTATAAGCGATTTTCTGATTAGCATTACAGAAGAAACTGTCTTCAGCACGAATGATTGACTGTAGAAAATAAAAAAATTGGTAAAAATAAGTGTTAATAAATTATATGAATTAAAAAATGATGTGAAATGACTACATTTACCATAATGAATGATTTTGATAGTTTTCTCAAGTTCTCCTGCTGAACTTTTCTGCTGTGATATTGCTCCAAAGTAGGAATATAAATTAAATCATCCGCTTTAACAACGTAATTTGAGCTCTAAAACTGGTTAACTTTGTATAGTTATTAACATATTTTTCCAGTTTATAACTCGATTGCTCGCGATTTTTTTAATGTTTCACATGAAATAAAGTAAGAAAGAGTGATGAGGACTGATTATAAGAAATTTAGATAGCAATTCATAGTCACTACATACCTTATTTTTACTCGTTGATGATGAATGAGTTGCGTGAGAAAAGACGTTTGGTCGTAATGCCTTCCAAGCTTGCGTCAATCTGTCTGGAAATTTTACTCCCTTTTTACGATCATTTGTATTTTGTCCATTTCTTTTTTCAGTAAATCGCAAACCCAAACGTGGCATATCTAAAAAATATTTGAAAAATTTACATAAAATAGTACAACAGTTGTTTTCTTAATTTTGTCAGATGTCAAATTTGATCAAAAATGTAATATTAGTTTTTTTTGAAAATATTTAAAAAAAGGACTTTTAAGGTACATGCATAATAAGGCAGTAACAAATGAAACGAGAGAATAATCATATATATCATGCAATTCAAAATAATCATGTGTATATTCAATTACTGCAAAAAGGTTGTGTTGAACTTTGACAGTTAAAAACATTTCAATATCAATTTTTTTTCAATTCATTTAGCATTTAAATTTATCTTGTAGAAAACTATGGTTCTTTTTGGTATTAAAATATGTAAAAAATCTACCACAGAAAACAATTATTTTTTCAGTCTCTAAATCACCACAGATGAGAAAAAGTAAAGAAAAGTAAAATAGTCCTATTTTTGCAACTGATAAATACTACGTCATCAAGCAAGTTTTCGCTTTATTTTGCTTTTCTATTCTATACTTTTTGTGAAACAAAATAAATATTCCTGATATTAATTTAATTATTGTAGATGCCTTTAATTTTTATAGCATAAACTGTAAGATAAAAAAATTGAACCCTTTTTTTACTGAATTCATATCTAACAAATGCAGTGGGTAAGGCAATTTGTTGAAATTAGCTTTATCGAACTGAACTGACAGTTTAAAGGATGATGAAGTGTTATCTGATGATGGGAGATGAAAAGTTCGTGGAAATCGTTGCTGCTAATATTGCTAATGCTGCTTCTATCACTAATACTGTTTATCACCACTTTTGTTGTTAAAAAGAATGTGAAAAAGTTGTGCAAATAAATACTAATTTGCGAAACTATAAGATAATAAATATTTAGCTATTAAAATTTATAACAAGAAAAACAAGTTGAATTTAAGTACATCAGTAATGGTAGCGGATAAAATGCTGTAAGAAATTATTCACTGATAGGATTAAAGATAAATTATTTATTCAAACATTTTTAGTATGACATGATTCTTACATGCATATAAATAAGATTCTTATATTGTGAGCAAATAAAATTACAAAGTATTTTTTATAAAAGTTGGAACTGTTTTATAATCATTATTGTTATTGAAATTCCTCTCTTTAATAGATAAATTATATTAGTTTGCTTAAGTAAGCAAGTATTCTATTGAAAACTCAATTTATATTTTTAAAAAACACTACGTTTATTGTTTACCAGTTTATTCCAGCCATTTTAGTTCCCATAGTTTTAAGAAATTCAGAAATAATGTTTAAATTGATATCACTGACTTGTAATTATAAACAAAGGCAGGTAATCGAAAGAGTTAAATGATTAGTTTTTAACCCTAAAATTCAACACAAACGATTTAATTTGTAACAATGATTTATAATTTAATTAAGTATCCCTTTCACAAAAGAAAATGCAGAATAGATAGTAAGTTTTTCTTTCTTAAAGCATGATATCTTACTTGCTAAAAAGTGATGAAAATAAGTCTACAAATGTAATGGCAAAAATGAGCACATTCTTGTTTTTTTTAGTACTAGATTTAGTTCATTTCATTGAAAAGTTGAAGAAAAAAATATTTATAATTATTTATGAACAGAAATAAGTAAGTAGTTTATAGTTCGCTACCACAATTTCGTGAATTTTTATAATATTAAAAATATGTTTGTTTTAAGTTTTCTCTCAAAAAACACTTACTTTTATGAATTCTCACTCAGCAGAAATTTTGATCCACGCTATATATATTCAAAAATGATAATAGTACAGTAATGTGGTTTTGCCAACTGCAAAACTAATTTGATTTTTACAATAAATGATGATTTTGAAAGCCAATTTATTGCAGTTTTATTCAGAATGAAATGGACGCTTACATTTAAGAGTTCGAAACAAAATTGAGAAGTAGCAGTATTTCTAAATACTATGAGTATCACAGATGCAAAGGATAATTATAACGTCAAAATTTGCATTAATCGAATGACTATTGTAATCAAAGTAGCTGAATATAATAATTCAATTTTCGTACGCAAATTTTAAAATTTCAACCCAAAGCGCCTTTTGCACTTTATTTTTTCATAATTATAACATGCTTTCAGCAATAATAAAATTAGCAAATTTACATTAAAACATTGAACTACTTATATTTTTTTTTCTGTTTCAATGCAAAAAAATCATCATAGCATAGTAACTAAACTATATTATGATGATAAATCCTACAAAAGTAATATCAATCTCATATTGCTAACATATAAAGTAAAATAAGTAATGAAAAGACATACTATTAGTAAAAACAGTTAATGAATTACCCAAATTATGTTATGTTCTATGAGCAAACGTTAAAAGAAAGGCAGCGACATATTATTATTAAATAAATGCAAGTTTTTTTCAGAAATGAAATATTTTAACAATTGAAATTCAGTAAATTAAAATATGTGATTAGTGAAGTAAATACATGAAATGAAAATTTCGAATAACTAATCCACAGTTGATAAACGATCCGTTGAGATAATAAAAGTGACTAGAATAACAGCAGTGAAATAATTACTATTATTTAAATACACCAATTTTTATAACAATAATTTTATAATTAGCAGTTTTTCTCTAGCCTTAATTTTTATAGCTTACATCAATACTCTAAATCAAATTGCTTTTTTTGTCTACTTCAGATATTAAATTTTGACATTTATGACGCATAATTATTTCCTTTTGGATTAATCTTTGAACTGCATTTACATGTCAATAATGCATCCCAAAAATTTGCGCTATTTTAATACTCAAATAATCAAAATGCAGAAGATTTATAAGAAATATCATCTATTTACATTTTTGTGTTGTCAGAAGCTTCAGTGAAGTGGATATCTTATTATCAAAATGGCATTTCAGATAAAGTTGATAATGAGTCGTTATCAGATGTAAACAACGCTTGATACTTTGCATGTAGCTATTATAAGGCGTAGATAGAAATAATCATGCTTATAATTAGCATTTAAGAAGTAAAAATGCATTCTCAAGTCGTTCAGTTAGAAAGAGTAAAAACATTCATTGCATTAATCAAGATTGCTACTTCTCTTCCAATATTAATACAAGCTGTTTTGAGGTGTGGATAAACTTGAAAATGAACCTAACACCATGCCCATGTCATTAAAATCATACGCCTAAACAATGTACCAAAAAATGTACTAAGCAGCAGATAAAAAATTGATGCATTAGACAACTGCTACAGTAATGTCAGCAATTGCTTTTCTTTTTTTGAACGTAACAAATTACAAATGCTTGTAACGTTCATCTACAGTATTGGACTCAATGCAGAGTATTCTTTCCATCAAAACCTCTATAAAGCAATTGAAGAATCATTCATTTCAAAACTTGCTAAAGTCTTATCAACAATGAAAATATCATACTTTTATGTGCTGTATTTGAATGCAAGATCTGTAAATTATTTCAAAAAAAAAGCTGAAATCTATCAAATTTTCAAGTGCATAAAATGCATTTCCAACACATTACAAAACGCTTCTAAAAGTCTTTCAAATCAAATTCAAGAAATGCTTTTGTGTCTGAAATTGAGTGAGTTCATTCACAATGGAACAAAGTAAATAATGAATAGCGCACTTTTTGCTGACACAAAAGGATTTTGCAAAAAATTAGTTTTTTCAAGAAAAATTCAGAAAGTAGCACATTGTGAGACAAAAAACTGTAGAAAGTTTACAACAACAACTAACTAATTGCTTTTTGATCTCTAAATTTGAATTACAACTACTTGCTGCACTCCGTTGATTAGTTTTGATCTCAAAAAAATGGTATTTAAAGTATGCTTAAAATAATTGTGATGCATTTAATGCATATTTTGAAAATATGTTTTTCAAAGATGAACAATCAGAATCTTGAAATATTTTAGTTCTAAAATAGATGAGAAAAAAACCAATATACCAATAAAATCATGTGAATGTCATTTAAAAATGAGTCACAGTATAAAATAAGGTTTATTTCGCACCATAAGATACAAAATTTTTCAAAAGCAACCCCAAAAGAGAAAGTAACTTAAATTTGTAGTTCTAGTTGAGAGAGCATGAAGAAATGTTAGCAATAACGTGAGAAAGAATGATACTTTGAGACAAAGTAATGTGAATGAAATTCAACGGTAAAGTGCCAGTAGTAGTTGGTTGTTAATTGCTTCTGAAGAATTTATTGAGCGAATTGCGCAGTACGTACTGACTGACTTATGCATTTCAAAGAACTACTTAAAATAAAAATTGCTGAAATTCGCTAAAAGTTTAACGAATCAAATGATATCAAATTCACTACTAGATATATATATCAAACAGATAAAGTGGTATGTAAAGAAAATGGAAATTAAATGCGTACAGATTAGTTTGATAAAAATGTTTATTGTATTACAAAAGAAAAAATATAGTCAGACATGCACAAGTTTTTTAAGTAAAAGAAGAAAAAAGAAATTGAAAATAACATTAGACGCATTGAATTCAACATTTGTACGTTATTCGATCATTTCATCTTTGCAATTTTACTTTTTTTTTTTGCCTTTTTAAATAAAAAAAATTAATGAATAATAAAAGATTGTCAGTAAATGGGACTGTGTAACCAGTTATTGCCAATTGAAGGGATATTTTTGAAAATGGTAGAAAAAGGTTGTTAGTTGCTGTAAATTATAGTAACAGAGATAAACGATAAATACTTTTTACTGTTAAACTAGCACTCATTTTTAGTCCATTTAATTTCATTAGCATAAATATATATATATATACTTTTTTTTGTGAATAAATATAAGCTTCCTATCTGATACCGTGTTGATATTATTTATTTGAAATAAATTAATATTTGAGCGGAAAACTAAAATGATTATTGCCCTTTCACTTCTGTATGATAAATTTGTTTAATACAAAGTAGAGTTGTGCTTCTTTTGCTTAAAATATATTATATTAAATGTGCAATAATTTGATCAAGTAAATAATGAGTTGGCAGTGCAAAAATTTTGAATGCAGATTTGACTTGAGAAAAAAATCTTTGATATGGTTTCAAGTTGCTCGTAATTTATTTCAACAAATATTGCTTCTTTTTTTCCTCAATTCCAAGTTTATTTGGCACTATATTTTGATATTCTGTAGCATATTTCTCATACTTCACAGATATGGAATAAATAGCAGAGGAAAAATGTCCAAAATTTTCTGCTGCATTACACTTCTTAAGTTTCCCATTGATGCTTACTGTACTGAAACAGTGACCGCTTCATTTATATTCCCGTCACACTTCGCATACAACCTTTGGCTATTATCACTTTGTGCAGTCTTCATTTCATAATTATCGCATCCATTGGTCATCTGTCATTGTGAACCTATTTGTACTTCGCATTATGACTCATATCAGTTTTTCTTAACTGTAAGATCAATGCAAGCAATCACATCATACGTTCATTTAATCAGTTTGCTGGTGTCATTTTTTTTCAAACACAAGTCATTCATTTAAAACAACTACTCTTATTCATGAATAAATATAGCGTGAAAGTTTCAGTAGAAAATTTATTTACTTTCTGTACTTTGACTATGTTTTGTAAAATAATCGTTGAATAGTTTTTTCTTAGAAAGATAATAATTATGATTAATTTTAGAGTTTATTGTTGGATTATGAAATTTGGTGACGAAATAATCTTAAAATATGTGAAGTGATTTTTTGAAAACTACATACGAATAATTGAATTAAAAGCGCTCATTGCGAGAGTTTTGCGTTTATTCTTTAAATTCAATCATTTTTGCATACCAGATTATATTTGAAAGACAATGTGTAGTCGTGAGATAGAGAGAGAGAAAAAAAGTAAATATTGATGTAAAGTGGCAAAGTGATGAGTAAAGCATCAAGAAATGTTAGAATAGTGAAATAAAGTGGACAGTTTGTTGGTAAGAAACTCACTGGTAACACGTCACGTCGTGTTCAGGTCTTTTTTGAGAATAGAAGGCATTGGTGATGAGTTTTTACTACTTGCCATCGTTCGCTGTTTTCTGCTTGCAGTACATATTTGCTTTTATTTCGAATATATTACTAATATTAATTCAATTTCTGTTCACATATTTCACTTACTATTTCTCATTCTGCTAGCGTATTTCATATTTTTGTTTCATTGCTGTGCTTCAAAGCTATCATTTTGTTTCATTTTCACTTTCTTTTGTTGGTTAATACGTATTTTAATGTGCTCTACTCATTATTTACTAGTTTATGTGCATTGTTTTAGGCTAATTTATTTTAGTCAAAAATGAAATTCTGTGTTTTTTTTCTTTTATCAATTTCAAGATATTAAATGTAAGCAATAAGTGGAGTTTACAAGTTGGCATTTTGACTGAAATACGATTTGGACATAGTAGAATTTTTCGTTGTTGATTCCATTACTTATTTAGAATAGTTTTGTATGGTTTTACTTGTGATGATTTCAGAAGTAAGGATGAATGAGTGGAAAAAAAATGACAATGATGGTTTACCACCTTATGGTTCGTTATTTCATTTCACACCTCAATAAGCAATGTACTTCATGTGAAGTTGATTTCCTAGAAGAGAAGTTTTACCAACACTTTATCATTAATGTTAGATGAGAAATAAACGTGTTATTGTAGAAGCAGCTATAGGCTCTAACTCCAACAATGATGGAACTTCACAAGCAGCTAGCAGAATGGGACCTTATCCATTATCACAGCCAGCGTTCAATCCTACATATATGCCTCAAACTGCCAATCCCGTGATGTGTTAGTTAATTGGCAATAATATCTAGAATTTGATCCAAAAATCATCAGCTAAAATTCTATTACATTTTCTGCACAGGTATAACTAACTGCTTTTGCAGTTATCATATCTGATATTTGATAAATTTGAAAGCATTTGTCAAATTTGTTTTTACTTGATAACTTTCTCATGCATCTGTTTACTGTCATTTTCAATGCTACAAAGTAATTTCCTACAATTTTTACTTTAATTTTCCAGCAGATCCTTCTGCGCAGCACTCAGGTCCTCAAATACCAGTCATTGTTGGTGTCCCTATATTTGGTCCTCATTCCTGTACAATGACATGTCCGAGCTGTAATAAATCTATTCTTACCGAAACACGCGACCATGCTGGTATATTTGCATTCATAATTTGTGGAATACTACTGCTTTTTGGGTTTGTTTTTTCGATATTATTACATTTGTGCTGAACTTGGTTTGTGTCAATCAAGCTGTCCTACGCGCTGAGCTATAAATGTATGATTCAGTGGAAAGAACACACTTAGAAATTTGGTGTAACAGCTTTATGAAATGTGATAGTATTAGTATTTGTGCAGGTTTATGCAGTCAAAATATAGATCTAGTTTATGAATAAAAGTTTCTGCTTTTTGTAATTCCTAACTCCGATCTTTGTGATCATGAAATTTCACGAATAGTTGTAATTCAGGAAAGTATAAAATATATAGATATACGAAAAATCTGTTTATTGACAACTGATTTATTTGAAAATCAGCTGTTGATGCATTTTAATTATAGTAACCATTTTACAGGTGCTGGTTTGGTTGTTGCTTAATTCCTTTCTGTATTAAAGATTGTCTGGTAAGTCATCAAAATTTTCACTTACAATCTTTACCACTTCAAATTCACAGATGGATCCATCCTACTATGTCATATTTGCACATTTTTTCTGAAAACAGTCAATTTTTAGGATGTGGATCATACTTGTCCGAATTGTAAGGTATTATTAGGATCTTACAAGAAAATTTGAATTAGCTGGAAGATTGAGAGTGGCTTGTTCGCCATTCTCGTTGATCATTGATAATAAATACACTACTTTTAGGTGTCACCCTAATATCTTTGTTCTAATATTTGTTTTATTTACTTCATTTCCAGGAAATATACAGAGCGTAAGAAATTTTTACTGTTATGGACAGTAATTGCATAAGTTAGATTTCGAGCTAGTCTTCATCAAATTTCGATTTTAATATTTTTTTGAAAACCTTAGTAATAGGAGTAACGAATAGAAATGAGATTTAATCGACACAAGCGATGCAAACTTTCTTATTGTTTTGCAAACGATCAGCAAATTCTACATTTATTTGTTATAAGTTGTCGTTTTTATCGACAATTTGCTTTTACTTAACTTTATAATTTTTCTTAAAAAGTTTAATCTAATTTGTAACTGTGTTCTCAAGTTAGAACAGTAGTTCCAGTAGTTTCACTAATCCATTATAGAAATATATCTGCCATCTCTTGGTAATTATCATTAATATATAATAACGTTGTTCATAGAAAATTGTCATCTTTTCAAATATTTTTCGGAGGTTTATTTTAAAATTTTTGCTTTCATGTGTATGAAATAAATATGTGATAAAATACCGCTTAACACACAACGCATCACAAAGAAAAAATAAGGTGATTGTATTTATCAAAGTGTTGTGCTTCGTTCATTACAAGGAATTTGACGATGCGATGTTGATTCGGACCATAATCGGAAATTCACTGATGATCTAACGGGAAATGATAGGAGCGGTGTATCACAAACAACTTCTGATTCATTCATTTATTTTGATTATTATGATGATAATAATAAAAATGGTGGTAGTGTTGATAATTACTGTAATCAGAATGATCATATTTATTGTATATCTCACTATGCTGATTAATACTATTATTATTTATATCAGTAATAGTAGTGGCAGTAGCAATAATAATATTAATGCTATGACTATTATTATTTATCTGTTTATTTACCTTGTAATCTCATGCAGTGATCCAGTTCAATGAGGGAACTGTGGGCGATAAGTGTTGATTACAATTGTTAATTGCTTTCGCACACTTCCTTAGTGTTAATAATAAATATTAAAAATACTCACTGACTGATTAGCAGTTATCTCTCCCTTCCCTTCTTGCTACCAAACATTGATATATCCTGTCGATTCTATTATGCAGGGCAGTTATGGCTTAGTTCACCACTTTGAAAGCACTTTAAATAAGTATTGAATTCGCTAATTTTTATGAAGTCTAATTTTGTTTATCGACAGACAATTCCTGGATTGACACTTGCAGGCGGAATTAATCTTTTTTCTAATTAGTCTGCTCAGAACAAATTCGTCTTTGAGTAGTTGATATTAAGACGGCAATAAATTTGTAGAGAATATATATCTATTGCTTGCAAGTGTGAATTCTTTACTGAAGTGATGAAGAGGAGTTAATTTTGGAGAGTGTATGTGAGCAGTATTTACGGATCAAAACACATTCTTAAGTTTTCGTACTTTGGGACAGGCAATAAAAGCAGAAGCTACTATTCCTCCGCATCCATCTGTCTACTCACGGAAACAAGAAAGTATTCATTGATTACTACAAAATTATTTTCATAGAGGTTGAAAAGTTCTACTAGACGTATGCAGTAATTGGGAGTAGTATGAGTTTAACAGCGACAAAGTTCTACTATGAAATATTTTTCATGCAGTTGGCGCTTGCCAGGACATTAGGACACAAAACATGTAGACTTGAATGCTATCGTCCTCACGTGGTGTGACCTTAAGTAACGTATGCAATAACTGGGAGTAGTATGAGTTTAGCAGCGACAAATTTTGTGAAAAGACATGATTTCGTAAAAAATTTTATTTTTTAAATCTAAATGCCAGGAAATATTT